CCTATAGAGATAGCGAGAGATAAGACGGATATACTAGTAACGGCTAGAAAGGAGGGGAAAACCTAGTAAAAAGCTCGGTAGTTAAAAGGATATTAGTAGCTTCTTTAAGTAAGATCTTCTTTATTAATTAAGATACTAAACGGGTATAAAGAAGGGCGTTAGATAGAGGAAAGAAGGATAATTTATTACGGAGTAGGTAAAGGTATACGCGTAGGTACTATCTATAGAATAATATTAATAAGCTATATAAAGCTCTCCTATACGCGGCTAGCCTATATATATATATATAGGATCCGGCCCTCTATATATAACTATACGGCTTAGGCTATAGCCTAAGCCTATAACTTATAATAGTTAAAGACTCTTATATAATGCCCTCCCTTAAGCGCGGCGCGGCGTTGCCTTATTAACGGCTTCTATACTATAGGGCCTATACCGCTAGCTCTACCCTACCCTTTTCCGTTAATCGTGCTAGCCCTACTAGCCCTATTATCCCTACGCCTATTAGCCTAGGTAGCCGGAACCGGGCTCTATACTTATCGGCCGGCTAGCCGTTTAAATAGGGGCGTAACCTATTATATACGCCCCTAGGTAGCCGGCGGCCGGCCTAGACCTATATAAGCCTTAGGTTACCCGTCCCCTTAGCCTTAGGCAGCCTCCTCTACCTAGGGGTATATAAGGTAGCATCCCCCCCTTCCTCCTTCCTTTCTTTCTCCTCCTTCTTTAACTATAGTAGTAGTAGTAATAGGTAAGTTCCGCTCTACCTAGGGCGTTAGTTTATTCCTAGCTATATAGGCCGCCTTATTAACGTATACTTATAGTAATAGCTATAATAGTAATAATAGCCCTAATAATAATAACTTTAACTAGTAAGTTCTCTACCTTATAGAGCGGGAGGCCGTAATCTATAATATTAACTTCTACGATAGATATATCTACCTCCCCCTCCCTTACTTCCTTCTTCTTAGAGCGTATAGAGTTATTTATCGACGCTATATTAAGCACGGCCGATAATAGCTCCGCCGCTACCGCTGCTCCTACCCGCGCCCCCGCGACCGCGCCCACCGCCGCCGCCTCTACCTCTACTACGCTAGCCGCCCTTACGTCGCCCTTCTAGGTAACGACGCCGTCCCCGCCGCCGGCCGTAACGCCCGGCCCCTCTACCCCCGCCTCCGCTACTACTACCCCCGTAAGTCCGCTACCTAGCGAGCGTAGTAGCTATTTTCCGCTAACTTCTTAAAGTATAAACGCTAAGTATAAGCCGGAGCCGCCCGCGCGGCCCCCTATATACGGTATACGTCGTAGGAGCTCCCCTACGCCGACTAAGTCGGGCGCCGCTATAGCGGTAGTTATTACTAGTACGCGCGTGCCGGCCGCGCCTATAAGGCGGCGCCTCCCGTCCTACTCGCTATAGCGTCGGCTTAGAAGGCCGGCGCGTATAGGCAGGCACGGGGGGCTACTAAGAAGCGCCTTACCGCCGCCGCCGCTGCCTACCGTAATCTCCGCGCCCTTAAGCGCTAGGGCCTCGTCCCTAAGTAAGTTCCTCTTATCTAGCTCTTTTACTTCCGCTATTAACTCTCCCGGTACTAGGGATACTACCTCCGTCGCCCTATCGGCGGTCCCCTTAGCCGTGCCCGCCGCCGCCCCCGCCGCTATTACTAGCCGGGCCCCCCTGCCCCTAGAGCCCCTAGAGCCGCCGCTACCGCCGACTAGCTCGCGGGCCTAGAGGGCCGCCTAAGCGCCTTAGAGAGCGCCGCCGCCGCTAATAAGGTAGAGGAGGACGACGAAGATAAGGATAAGGACGATAATAAGGACGAGGAGTAGGTCTAGGTAGTTTAAGGGCTTTGCCTTAAAATAAACGCTATTTTTATCTCCGCTTATATAATTACGCTTACGTTATTATAACTACCTACTCCGCTTTACCTACTTTATAATCTTAGCCTAAGCTATTATCGGTAGTCCGCTAGTTTATTATTCTCGTCTACTATTCTAAATAAGGCTTTAAACTTATCGAGGGCTATAGTTCCTATAAACTTATATATAGGTTCTTACGTAAGGTTAAGATACCCGCGCTACTTAACGAGGACCTCCTAGCGTTTCCCCTTACTAACCTTTTTCTAGCGCGCGGCCTATATCTCTTTAACCTCGAACTTATCCTCTCTCTCTACCTTATTTATAGGCGGTTAAGCGTCCGCTACTTCTTATTTAGGCAGCGGGTTAAAGGAGGCTCTATAAAGGAGGTCTACGTTAATCTTATTATAGACCCCTATTAAGAGACTATCGAGCTCTATAACCTATAGGCTAATAACCCTTTATACCGTAAACTTCGCGTATAGCTAGTTAAGCTTCTTCTTTAGTCGTGCCGACCTATAGTTACGGAGGTCTAGCTATACCTTATCTTTTACCGCGAACCTATTTACTAGGGCCCTAGTCTTATTAGTATACCGCTCTTAATCTTATACCGCGGCGGCTATCGCGGATTAGTAATAATCTATAGTCTCCTATAGCTTTCGTATAAACGTAGAGGCGCGGCCCTTTAGTAACGAATTACTATACTACTCCGCTACTATATCTACGGTAAAGGGAACTAGTAAGGGTAGTTTAAAGCTATATATTATAAAGAAAGGGGCTATCTTAATAGAGGTATATAGTCTACTATTTAATATAAGTTAGGCTATAGGGAGCTACCGGTCTTAGTCTACTTAGTTATAGGCTACGATAGCCTATAAGTAAGCCTACGCTTCCTAGTTAACCCTCTTAGGCCCTCTATTAGTCTATAGGTAATATACCGTACTAAGTAGCTATATAATCTAAAGTAGCTAGTATAGGTACTACTAAAAGCAGCTAGTTTAATTCGATCCCTTATCGCTTATAATAGAGGCTAGCTAGCTATATAAGCGGGCCTAGTATTATAGGAAGCGCTCTATATAGGACTCTATATCTATAGATAGTATTAGCTTTAATATTATAGACTTACTAAGTTAGTCCTTAATTACCTATATATAGTAGTTACCGCCCTCTATAAGTAGGAGGTCTATTATAAAGTCTATCTATATATATATATAGAACTAGTCGGGTACTAGAAGCTACTTAAGTAGCCCTTTAAGCTATGCCTTTTAAATCTTTATACGGCCGTAGATATCGTAGTTATAGAGGAAGTAACGAACGTAGTACTATAGGAGGGGCTAGTAAAAGTCCCTCGTAAGGCCTACCACTATGCCCTATCTACCTAGGTAACCTACGACGCTAAAGTTATAGATAAGTTAGACTAGCCTCCCTCGAAGCTTATTCCATTTATCTAGCTCTAGCGGTCCCTCCTTCTCCTTAGCTTCTATAGTATACGGTGCGCCCGGTACCTATAGTCTCCCCCGCTAGCGTAAATACCCTTATAGGTCGATATAGTAGTCGGCTACCTATACCTTTAGCTTTAGCTTTAGATCTAGGTATTAAGCGCTAGACTTAACGGCGCGGCGTACGCCCTCGTAAGCGCGGTCTAGAGCCGCTATCCTATCCTATAAGCGTTAAAGGGCCTTATCTTAGAACACTCTCGCCGCGCGCGCCCTTAGGCCGGTCTATCCCTCCTCGCCGGACTAAGGTAAGGGCGTAAGGGGAAGCTTATTCGCTAGCACCGCGTCTTCCTCTACTAGGGAAGCTCCTATATAAGTCCGTAGTATCACGGAGTTAGCAGAGGCGTGCGCGTAGGTGCCGTCCGTAGGATGATGTTAATAAGCTATGCAGAGCTCTTCTATGCGCGGCTGGCCCGCCCCTATACTTACGGGATCCGGCCCTCCGCACGTGACTACACGGCTTAGGCCGCGGCCCAAGCCCATCACCCACAATAGTTAAAGACTCTTATACAATGCCCTCCCTCGAGCGCGGCGCAGTGCTGCCCTATTAACGGCTCCCGCATAATTGTGCGGCTCTTCCTACCCTTTCCCGTTAATGGGGCCGGCCCACTAGCCCTGTGTCCCCGCGCCCGTTAGCCCGGGCAGCCGGGACCAGCTCCACACTCGTCGGCCGGCTAGCCGTTTAAATAGGGCGTAACCTATTATATGCGCCCCTAGGTGGCCGGCGGCTGGTCCGAACCTGCGTAAGCCTTAGGTTGCCCGTCCCCTCCTTAGGCAACATCCTCCACCAAGGGGTATATAAGGCGGCATCCCCCCCTTCCCCCTTCCCTTCCTTCTCTCCCTTCTTTAACCGCAGCAGCAGCATTAATAGGTAAGTTCCGCTCTACCCGGGGCGTTGGTCCGTTCCTAGCTATACGGGCCGCTCTATTAACGTGTGCTCGCAGTAGCAGCGGCAATAGCAACAATAGCCCTAATAATAATAATAACTCTAACTAGTAAGTTCCGCGCCTCATAGAGCGGGAGGCCGCATTCCGTCGTGCTAACTTCCGCGATAGACATATCCGCCTCTCCCTCTCCTACCTCCTCCTTCTCGGAGCGTACGGAGTCGTTCGTCGACGCCGTGCTGGCCGCGGCCGACGACGACTCCGCCGCTGCCGCCGCTCCTGCCCGCGCCGCTGCCACCGCTCCCACCGCCGCCGCCGCCGCCTCTGCTGCGCTGTTCGCTCTCACGTCGCCCCTTAGGGTAACGACGCCGTCCCCGCCGCCACCCGTAACGCCCGGCCCCTCGGCCCCCGCCTCCGTCTCCGCCACCCCCGTAAGTCCGTAGTTAGGCAAGCGTAATAGACGTTGTCCGCTAACCTCCTATAGCATAAGCGCTAAGTGCAGGCCGGCGCCGCCCGCTCGGCCCCCTATGTGCGTTGTGCGTCGCAGGAGCTCGACTGCTCCGACCAGGCCGGGCGCCGCCGCGGCGGCAGCTGCTACCAGTGCGCGCGAGCCGGCCGCGCCTATAAGGCGGCGCCTCCCGTCCTACTCGCTGCGGCGTCGGCTTAGAAGGCCGGCTCGCACGGGTAGGCGCGGGGGGCTGCTAAGAAGCGCCTTACCGCCGCCGCCGCCGCCTACCGTAACCTCCGCGCCCTCGAGCGATGGGGCCTTATGCCCAAGTAAGTCCTACTCCTCCGCTCCCCTGTTTCCGCCTCTAACGCACCCGGCGCCAGGGACACTGCCTCCGTCGCCCTATCGGCGGTCCCCTTGGCCGTGCCCGCCTCCGCCACCGCCGCTGCCCCTGCCGCCGCCGCTGGCCGCCGCCCCTCTGCCCCCGGAGCCGCCGCCGCCACCGACTGGCTTGCGGGCTTAGAGGGCCGCCTTAGCGCCCTAGAGACCGCCGCCGCCGCCAATAAGAAGGAGGAGGCCGACGAGGACGACGATAACGAAGATAATAATAATAATAACGATAAGGAATAGGCCCGGGTAGTCTAGGGGCTCCGCCCCGCAATAAACGCTGTTTTTGTCTCCGCCTATACTATTGCGCTTATGTTGCCTATGTTGCCGTGACTGCCCCCTCCGCTATGCCTACTTCGTGGTCCTAGCCCGGGCTGCTATCGGTGGTCCGCTAGTCCGTCGTTCTCGTCTACCGTTCCGAATAAGGCTTTAAACTTATCGAGGGCTGCGGTTCCCGCAAACTTACGTGCGGGTTCCTACGTAGGGTCGAGATACCCGCGCTACTTAACGAGGACCTCCCGGCGTTTCCCCCTATCGACCTTTTTCTAGCGCGCGGCCCGTATCTCTTCGACCTCGAACTCGTCCTCTCCCTCTACCTCGATTGCGGGCGGTTAGGCGTCCGCTGCTTCTTATCCGGGCAGCGGGTCAGAGGAGGCTCTGCGAAGGAGGTCTACGTTAATCTTATTATAGACCCCCGTTAGGAGACCATCGAGCTCTATAACCTACGGGCTAATAACCCTCCGTACCGTAAACTTCGCGTGCAGCTAGTTAAGCTTCTTCTTTAGTCGTGCCGACCTATAGTTACGGAGGTCTAGCTATACCTTATCTCCTGCCGCGAACCTATCTGCTAGGGCCCTAGTCTTATTAGCGTGCCGCTCCTAATCTTACGCCGCGGCGGCTATCGCGGATTAGCAATAATCCGTGGTCTCCTATAGCTTTCGTACGAACGCGGAGGCGCGGCCCTCTAGTAACGCATTGCTATGCTGCTCCGCTACCACGTCTACGGCAAAGGGAACTAGTAAGGGTAGTTCGAAGCTATGCGTTGTAAAGAAAGGGGCTATCTTAATAGAGGTATATAGTCTACTATTTAACGTAAGTTAGGCCGCGGGGAGCTACTAGTCCTAGTTTGCTTAGTTGCGGGCCACGATAGCCCGTAGGTAAGCCTACGCCTCCTAGTTAACCCTCTCGGGCCCTCCGTCGGTCTATAGGTGATATGCCGTGCTAAGCAGCTACGTGATTTAAAGTAGCTAGCATAGGTGCTGCTAAAAGCGGCTAGTCTAATTCGATCCCCTATCGCTTATAATAGAGGCTAGCTAGCTATGCGAGCGGGCCTAGCACTATAGGAAGCGCTCTACGCAGGACTCCGTATCTATAGACGGCATCGGCTCTAATACTATAGACTTACTAAGTCGGTCCTTAATTACCCATATATAGCGGTTGCCGCCCTCTATAAGTAGGAGGTCCGTTATAAAGTCTATCTATATATGCGTGTAGAACCGGTCGGGCACCGGAAGCTACTTAAGCAGCCCCTTAAGCTGCGCCCTCTAGATCTTCGTGCGGCCGTAGATATCGCAGTTGCGGAGGAAGCGACGAACGTAGTGCTATAGGAGGGGCCAGTAAAAGTCCCTCGCAAGGCCTGCTGCTGTGCCCTGTCTGCCTAGGTGACCCACGACGCTAGAGTTATAGATAAGTTAGACCAGCCTCCCTCAGAGCTCGTTCCGTTCGTCTAGCTCCGGCGGTCCCTCCTTCTCCTTAGCTTCCGTAGTATACGGTGCGCCCGGTACCTATAGTCTCCCCCGCCAGCGTAGATGCCCCCGTAGGTCGATATAGTAGTCGGCCACCTATACCTTTAGCTTTAGCTTCGGATCTAGGCGTCGAGCGCCGGACTCAACGGCGCGGCGCACGCCCTCGTAGGTGCGGTCTAGAGCCGCCATCCTATCCCACAAGCGTTGCAGGGCCTCATCTTAGAACACTCTCGCCGCGCGCGCCCCCGGGCCGGTCTATCCCTCCTCGCCGGACCGAGGCAAGGGCGCGGGGGGAAGCTTATTCGCTGGCACCGCGTCTTCCTCTACTAGGGAAGCTCCTATATAAGTCCGTAGTGCTTCTTACGGGATAAGCTATAGATCCCGGGCCTCGATGTCCGCTCCCGTCGGCCGGTCCTGATCCCTCCGGGAAAGCGCGTCTAGGACCGCGGAGTCCCGCCTAGGGCGGTACTTAATCGAGAAGTTAAAGCGTAAGAGATACTCCGCCTAGCGGGCTTGCCGCTCCGAGAGGTGCTAGCGAGTTATAAAGTACTCGAGGTTCCTATGGTCTATAAGAACCTCGAAGCTCTCATAGCTCCGGAGCTCCGCTTACTATTGCTCGAGGCAGCTAATAATCGCTAGTATCTCCTTATCGTAAATAGCGTAATTCCGCTCCGCTAGGGTTAGCTTGCGGGAGTAGAACGCCACCGGTTGCTTCCGCCCGTCTACCTCCTAGGAGAGCGTTCCTCCGAGTGCCCAGCCGCTATAGTCCGCTTTAACTAACGTAGACCGGTCGAAGTCCTACTAGAGCAGCACCGGGGCTTAAGAGAATAGGTCCTTAAGCGTGCGGAACGCTCCTTCCTATGCGGGCCCCTAGCGAAAGGCGGTCCGCTTCCCGGTAATCTCGTTTAGGGGCATTACAATATAGGAGAAGCCCCTAATAAACATCCTATAATAGTTCGCGAACCTAAGGAAGCTCCGCACGCCTATCTACGTAGTTAGGGCAGCCTAGTCCCGAATCGCCTAGATCTTTGCGGGGTCCGCCTATATACCTGCGCCTACGTAGATAATAAAGCCTAGGTACTTAACCCTCTTAACCCCGAATTCGCACTTATCCGGGTCGAGGTAGAGCCTATAAAGTTAGAGGCGCTCTAGGACCCTCCGCACTTTCCGTATATAGTCCTCGTAGGAGCCGCTCGTATAGATAAGGATATTATCCACGTATACGGAGGCGAACTCGTCGAGGAAGTCCCGAAGTACGTTGTTAATATAACGCTAGAAGGTAGCGGGCGCTCCTAAGAGGCCGAAGGGCGTTATAAGCCACTCGAATAAGCCGTAGCGTGTACGGAACGCCGTCTTCTACTCGTCACCCTCTAAGATCCGTACCTTATAGAACGCCTATTTTACATCTAGCTTCGTAAACCACTTCGCCTTCGAAAGGTTGCGGAGCGTATCCGAGATTAGGGGCAAGGGGTAGCGGTCCGGCCTCGTAATTACGTTTAGGGCCCTATAGTCGCAACAGAACCGTATCCCGCCCCCTAGTTTACGCACGAATAGGACCGGCGCTCCTACTTCGGAGCTACTTACTTAAATAAAACCCTTATCTAGGAGGTCCCTTAGCGTCTTCTTTAGCACCAGCAGCTCCGCGTATAATATACTATATAGCGGTCCGAACGGTGCGGGCAGTTCCTGCCCCTTCTTATCGGTACGGAGTACGATCCTATAGTCTACCCCCGGCTTATACGGGTTAAGCTTATCTGCTTCCTAGGACTCGAATAGCGGTAGGAGGTCGTAAAAGCGCTCCGGTATCTATTGCCGTAGCTTAGAGGGCGACTTCGGCTTCTTCGTCCGGAGGGCCTTATCGATGTCCGCTAGGCTAACTACGCAGACCGCTACGTCAGCCGCTGCCCGGCCTTGCCCCCGCTCTACCCGTCGCACGGTTCCCACGAAGACAGAGGCAAGGACTTCTTATGCCGAGCATAAAGCTCGCACGCCTAGTCCCACGCCTACGGAACCGTCGTCGTAGCGGACCCACCGTTGCGTAGGCCTAAACCATAGCTTCCTCTAATACGGAACCGAGTATAACTCTATATATAATAACCAGGGTTTCCCGAGGATCAGGGGAAACTCTAGTTAGGGGATCACATAGGCCACGATAAGCTTATAGCAACCGTCGACCTCTATAGCCAGCCACGTAATGCCCCTAATCACCGCACCCTCTATCGCGCCTAAGGCGCCCTTCACTCGCCTTAGGGCGATCTTTTCTACCGGCACTTATATCTCTCGCGCAAGCGCCTCGTTAACTGCGGCGTAGCACTAGCAGCCCTCGTCTATAAGGGCGGCAACGGGCAAGGAGTTATTAATTATAACCTATATTAAAGTAGGCTCCTCTTCTATACGGGCGGACAATTCTTCCTTCTCCTTTGCTAGTGCTAGCAATTAGGGCTCCGGAGCCCGTCTTTGCTCCGGAGCTACTCTTTTTCCTCCGGGCCTAGGGGGGCGGAGTCCTCCTTATCGTCTAAGGCGAGGAGCGGTTCTATCTTCGCTACTCGAACCGCCACGGGCCGCTTAGCTAAAAGGAAGGGGCATTTTAACATAAAGTACGTAGATACTCCGCAACGTAGGCAGCGGCCGTTAGCCTTCCTCTTCCCGATTTCCTCGCTCGTCACCTACTTCGCCCGCTACTTAGAGTGCGGGGCGGTGTGGGGGGTGGTCGACGGCGTCTTCTTGCCGCGTCTGGCCCGGTCCGTGCGGGTAGCCGACATTAGGGTGTCCCCGTCCGTGTCGATAGCCGGTTGTTCATCTTACGGAGGGGCGGTAATCCCGTCGCCGCTATACGGCGTGCGCTTACGGAGCTTCTAGAAACGCGGCGTCTACTCGTAGCCCTAAGCCACCTTTATTAACCGGCTCACGTACTCGCCGTAGTTAGTAGGCATAATCACGGGGATAAGCAGCTCCCGTAGGGCCGGCGTGATCGAATTCCGTAGCCATGTGAGCTTCGCGCTGTCTTCCTACACCGTAGTCCCCGCTGCCCGTGAGAGCGTCTCTTCGAAATCGGGAAGGAATTCGCTAAAGGTTTATCCGTCTCTCTACTTAAGGGTCCGCAGCCTATCTTACGCCTTCTCCCGCTCCTGCACGTTGCCGAACGCATATATAAGGTATTAGAAGAAGTCTTATAGGTCGCGTCTGCCCCTAGGGCCGCCCTTATCCTAGAATCCGGAGATCCGCCGCATCTAGGGCTCCGGCAGCGTATAGAGGAGCGAATACCACGCTATGTCGCGATAGCCATTTAGGCCCTATTTCTCGTCGGTTATAAACTTCGTCTATAGCCGGCTAAGGAAGAAGTAAAAGGACTCCGGCTTGCCGTCCTAAGTCGGCTAAGGGAGCGGCTTCCTCGTCGGTGGTGTCGCCGCCGCAACCGGCGTTGCGGAGGCCGTAGGGGTCAAAGCCGGTCTCGCAGACGGCTCCCCTAGTGCAGCGAGAACCTCGTCCTTCTCGCTA